ATTTAAAGTTATAATAAAATTTCCTGGCAATCAATTTATGCCCAGATGACTAACGATATTCAAGCTAAAAATGCTAAAGTTCTATAAAGCAAATTTAAATTTCTCAGATTTCTAAAATTTGGAATCACAAAGCACAAAACTATAAATAACATCTATAAACACATAGTTCTAGACTATTTTCTTGCAGACTATTTACTATAGTCAAACTTTCTATCTTCAAAATATTAATAACTTACCAAATCCCAAAGTCCAACTTGCCCAGATCTGGCCCCAGCTGCCACCAAAGTTCTAATTTCTGATGGATGAAGAGCCATAGAGAATATTGAACCTTTGGTAACTTTACAAACAGTATCTTCACTAATGACCATGCCACTTAAATTGGCTTTGTAGCTGAGAAAATTAAAAAGTTATATTTTAGACATAAAACCATTCTTAATTGACAAAATGAGTAAAAAGATGACACAAAAAAGAAAAAAAACACAATTAGTAAACAAATGTGGGGAAATATTCAACCTCCTGACAATCAAAGAAATCAAAGTAAATAATGAGGTACTATTTTTCACTTAAAAAACGCTAGTAGGCTACAGTTAAACACATACATACATATATATTGCTAGTGACAGAGAAAATTCATATAAGATTTTCAAAAGACAAAAAAATTTTGAAAAACAATTCACCAATGTGTACTAAAAGCCATAAATATGTCCATAATATGTGACACATTAATCTCACTTCTGGAATCTATCCTAAGGAAATAATCTATTATCATACATATATACTTCAACAAACACATGCACACATACAAGCACACAAAACTAAATAGAAAACAACTCCAAATACCATGAGGGTAAGAGAAGGTTAAGTAAATTCCACCTACTCGATAAAATATTCTGCAATTAAAAAATTTAAAGAATCTAGTAACATTCAACCACAATGTTAATGAAAAAGTATAATGAAAACTTATATAAACATTAGAACATGACAAACCAATATCACCCCAATAAATTCAATAAAGAAGAAAATAAAAAAACATAGAGTAAAAATGTTTTGGATTCAGTCATTTAAATGAATATATACTAGGTGCCAGACACTATTCTGGGAATTGAGACAAAACCCTGCATTCGTGAAGCTTATATGCTAGAGGTATTGCATATGGCAATACTTGAAAGGAAATATACAAAATCAACAGTTGTTAGGAAATATTATGGGTAAAATTTTCATCTCATTTTCAAAATTTCCAGTTTTATAGTCTTTATAAATTAAAGGTCTCAGAAAATGTGAATAAAGACCAGGAATTTTAACTGACCTTTTAATGCTCGATAACTCCTTCTCATTATTCTTACTACTTGTCTGAAACAATGGGAGAGATCAAAGTACTAAGTTAATATATGTACTGAATTTTCATTAACAAAAGATTCTAAAAGCTTACGTAAGCCTACCCAACTGATACCTTGTTCACTTCTGCCCAAGTCTGTAGAAATCCTTTAAGTAGTTCACTGTTATCATCTCGATTTTCAGGAGTCATTTCTAAAGGCCCAGGAGGTATCAAAGGCTGTTATAAAAAATAAAAACATATAAAAGAGTTGTCGCCCTGCCCTGGAATAGAGGCTTGAGATTTTTCACAACTTTACTTTCAATTCCAAAAATAGGGGTGACACATCATTAGCATTCGAAAATAGTTGTTCAATGAATGAATGTCATGTATCCTGTAAGTAATAAAATGTATTATCTTTTAATCATCTCAATCCAGTAAAGGAGATATCACATTTTTAAAACACTGGAATGAAACTTAGAGAAGTTAACTTACCCAAAGTTCCACTGCCAATAACTGCTTATGAGAGTTGATTCAGACAGTTCAATTTCATTAATCAGAGTTATTATTCTATGCCAGTGTTTTTTAAGAGATTGTAACCTATGGGTCGTGAAATCACTTTAATGTCACAACCAGCAATGTGTTTTAGTGAATAAGAATAGAATAGGAAAAAAAAAGAATAGAATAGAAAATACAAAAGTGCATCACATGTAGTAAGGGTAAGTATCATTTCACAAGTTTTGTTTTACAGGTGTGTGTGTGCGTGTGCGTGTAATGAGTGCAATGTAAATACATTTCTTATTTTGAGTGGAGGCTTCAAAAAATTTTGAAAGCTACTTTTCCCATAGTACCTTAATTTGCAATTCACTTCCAAAGCATGAGCCTAATTAGTGTTATCTTCCAAATTATAATTAAATACTTAGAGGTATAGAGTGTTAAAAACAGTAGGTGCTCTTGAATAAAAAATATGATTATTTAGACTAAAATTATTTAAGATTAAAATCTTAGACAATAATTTGGTAAATAAGACTCTTTCCGCCTGGACAGCATAAAATTAAACTATAGCTAAAAACTCCATTACTATTAACACATATTATTTATCAATAATATTAATTAATAACTACCATTTATTGATTACTTACTAAGCCCTAATAAAATGTAAGGATCTTTATAGAAACTATTTCATTTAACCCTCACAACACCCTACTGAGGTTTCTATTATGGCTGCAATTTTAAAAATGGGAAAACCAGGACTCAATGACACAATCCCACAATCCCATAGCAGGTAAACCAGCAGAGATATAGAATCCAACCGAGGAATGACTAAGAAATCTTAGTCATTAAACCAGCAATTTTCAATCTTTTTCATCTCATGGCACACATAAACTAATTACTAAAATTCTGTGGCACACCAAAAAAATGTATTTTTGGCCAATCTGACAAAAAAAATAGGTATAATTCTGTTTCATTCACACAGGACAGCTATTATCACTTTATCTGACAATGTAAGGCAAAAGAGTTCAGTGCCCCTAACTATGAATGTTTTAAAAATTCTTGGGGAACACTGGTTGAAAACTGCTGCATTAAACCATTCAACAGTCAAGTACCAAATTAATAAATACAAATTAAACATAATTTAGTGACCTGTTAATCTAATTTCAAGCACTTCAAAATTTTCAGTATTTTATTGAGTTAATATATTGTATTTGCACTCTTTCTTACATTTTCATCTTCTACTACTGTTGGCTGGGTTGGGGTTTCCGGTAATGAAACTCCTAAAGGATCTACATTTAGTAATCGCATTGACCTTCTACATCCAATTCCATTTTCTCTCTTCTTAGGCTTCTTTCTAAAGAAGTGGAAAAAACTCACGTTATACTCAGAAAAGTTATATGAATTTACTAATATTAAGGGGATAACTTCTAGGAATATATCTCATGGATATAGTCACACACTGCAATATATACATGGCTATTCTGATTTTAATTAACACTCTGAATGCATAATGTTCATCATGGGAAGATGAAGGGTGTTAAAAAAAATTATGACACCCTCAGAATTTTGTTTGTTTGTTAACATGAATGATTTTCCTACATTAAAATGTGCAAAGTTTCAAAAAAAATTATGACATACATATCAAATAGAATAATTTGTAGCCAGAATAAAGAATTAAATGCTATGTTAATATGAAATGAACTCATAAGGAAACAAAAACAAGGTCCAGTACATATTAAATATTTTTTTTACAAAAAAGTTACATGTACACATACATTTGTGCATGCTGAGATCACCTACTGAAGAATATACATGAAACTATTAAGAGTGGTTTCCTCTAGGGAGAAGGCCTGAAGAACTAAGGTCTAGG